CTTGGGCAATGTGGCCAGCGTCGTGTTTTCCAAGTTCCAGCACGTGCAGCATGAGTTACATGAAAATCATGGAGAACACATTACCATCTCAGAAGTTGGGTTGCATTTTTGAGAACATTTCCTGGGTTCAAATTTGTGTTTGGGAAGGAGCTTTATTGCTCAGGTAAAGTTGGAGATGTGGTCACAAATATACAATAAAAACATTTGGCAAGTTTTATGCAATGCGTCTATTCAGAGTAACATACCAACCTGACGTTTCTTTTGCTGCTTAGTATATATTGTTCTTCCTAGCTTGTGGAAGTTAAAAAAAAATATCTCTTTCGTTTTGTAACTGCCCATTAAAAGTTAATAGTTAATGTAAGGTATAGGGGAAGAGCAAAGATGATTTGTATGCAGGATTACATATAAGCCTTTATGATCGAAGCTGTGTCCAAACCATTGAACCACCCCCACTTTCCCCATCTTCTAATGTGTTTAGAAATGTGAATATTTGATTTTTATTAATACTCTCTCTTACACGTGAATTGATATTCTTTTGTTACAAAAACATGATCATTGTCAATCTGTCAGTTTAACAATAAATCAATGAAACATGTGAAGTGCGACACAATATTTACATTTTATTATTAATATTTATTGATTTATAGTCTTCCTCATCCATACATCACTATTCATCTAAATAACTTTATTATACCTGATATTTTAATCAAAAAACTATTATACCAAATATCTGTTTTTTTCTTGACTTGTCAACAGTTACATCTATAAGGTTGACGAAAAGTGTATCTAGTTGATATTTCACCAAATAGATTTAATGTAATTGATATGAAATAAGTTTGTATAAATACCTTAACTTTGTATCAGAATATTTTGTAATCTAGTTATTAGTTAAGGAGGGTTGGGTGGCCGAATGGTTTATGCATGCCCATTAGATCAGACGGTCTGTCATCGATTCAAAGTGACGTGGTTTCGATTCCCCGCTTGTAAGTGACAAGGAGTAGGGTCGCCTGTGGGATTTCTCCGAGTCCTCCGGTTTCCTCACACTAAAGACCCTATGCACAAACTAATTATTGAAATAAAATTAAAATATATGTTAGTCCCAAAATGATCTAGTTTGTGTCAAGTGGACGTAAAACTCCATTTCTCTCTCTCTCTCTCTATTTGTTAAAATCATGTTATTTCATTCCTTTTATTGGGATAGTCACTCGTATTAAACAAAATCAAATATATTTGAGTTTGATTAGATGAATCTTATGTCTTAATTACCAGAACCTTTCAATAGATTTGATATAAGAGTTGATAGGTAGGTTGATCTGAAGTGGACCAATCACAGTCTGTGCATTATTATTGTCTTTAGACCAAGATGAAGTTGAATAAATGACTGAAAACCTTATTTTATATTTAATACAGCTCAAAGGTTTGCTTGCCAAACGGCTTACATACCGGGTATATGATTTTTGGATTCCCTCCCCCCCATGGAGTGAGACCCCAGGGTGCAAACAAAATTATTGACTCAGATGTATGTTTCATTGCCTGACAAACCATAATTTTTTTCCAATGATTAATTGTTTCTAGACAAGATTAAAGCTTCATTAGTTTTAAAACTAGTCTTTTATTATTAGATGTCATCTAATAATCAGATTTATGGCAGTGTGTCATGATGACATGGCAAGTCATAGATTAAAGAAGTGTCACTTTGACCTGGAAGTTTTATAACACCCATTTTAGCACCTTAATTTGTCTGCTCATTTGCGCAAACAGTAAATTGTCTGTCTTAACTTGGACATTTAATCCAATTTTCAGTCTTAGTTTGGACATTTGATTAATTAAATTGATTATCTTTGTAATTAAAGAGTATTATGGCATCCAAATTATAACTTAAAGGCACTAATCGTCATTTGCATTCTTTGGACAATATCTAATTTTTCTCAGAAAATCCCTGCTTAAATCTACTCAGATTGATTATATAACATATTATATAACAAAACTAAAATGATCATTCAAAAGTAATTAATTATATATGTGGGGCTATATTGCCTGCATAGGATGCCGAATGTGGGGAAATTTCCCTTCATCATATCTTTATTCTTTGTAATTACTGAATGAAATTGAACCAATTTCGGATCCATGTTTCTTATAGAGATTCAACTCTTTGGGCTATATTTTGCCTGGAATTCAAATTCCTCTATTCCTTATATATAGATATTCAACTCTCACTATTCAAATCCCCCAAACTAGAGGATTACCGGCATTTATTTGATTAAAGTAAGCATGTGTGATTTGCATTTTGTCGCATAATACAGTATTGTGAAATTTAAATCTCTAATAGGAATAACAGTCCAAAAATGGTTCAGTTTCTTTAAGTACTTACAATAATATGTCAGATTGAAAATTCCGTCGATCTATGCTGCTCCCCATGTAAGTTGTAACGAGACTGCCCCCATCTTTATTTGGTGTGAACCAAATTGATGGGACTGTTTTTAATCTGATTGATTCCAAGCCTGGAAATTATCTAGCAATGGTATCTTGATATTGTTTTCTTAATTAAATGTTAAAAAATCAATCTGATATTAGCATGGATTAAGTTGTGAGAAATTTGACATTTTCCGACAAAACTCAAATCATGCATCGTTATTTTAAGAAAACAAAATGAAAATATCAATACTGGATAATCTCCTGGCTTGGATTCAATCAGATTAAAAACAGACTTATCAACTAGATTTGACAAACACGTTAAGATGACAATAAACAAACTTGTATATTGGCGATCCGCCTACTAATGGATTGAAAAATGGTGGAAAGTTTTACTTGGAAGAAATGAAGACCTGTTTTGTCTAAAGATTCTGTCAAGAAAAAGAAGAGAGAAACTAGAAAACGTAAAGCATACCATATAAGGGGCAACATAGAGCATACCATATAAGGGGCAACATAGTGCATACCATATAAGGGGCAACATAGAGCAATGGAATTTTACTTTAAACCTAACGGAACTGAAACATTTTTAAATTGCTATTCCTATTCAAGTGTTACAATATTGTAGTTTGTAAGCAATTCCTATGTACATGTTTATAACTTAAATCATGCCCAGGACCTTTAAGATAGACCATGTAAAATTTTAATCAATTTTAAAATGTTCATTTTTTATGGCTCGTATGGATAGTGGCCTTAGTTGTGACCATCAGAGTTTTTGTCAATTATTTGCATATTTTTCAGCATTCTTTTTATTCCAAAATCAATTTTAAGTGTATTTTTCCATATAAAAATTAAACCATATTTGTTGTGTCTTTTTAGACATACCAACACTTTCAGAAAACATGTTTCTCATTTTACATGCCTCAAATTGGTAGTACACACAAGAGATCTCTTGACTTTGAAGAGTATATGGATCATCACTGTAAGGGCAAAATTCTCCCCCTCGCATTACCCATGTAACCATTGAATTAATAGTTATTGTATGTTAGTCTAAAGATGTAATATGACATTAATTTGAATAAACTCTAATCTATTCCACATTAAATAAACTTCTTCGAACAATATTTAGACAGAATTGGTTTATTCTTCGAATTCCCCCAAATATCTTTAATTTGGATTTTCTTGCGTCTGTGTTTTCTTTCGCAATTCTCTTCATTCATGGTGTTTGCAGAGTATGCATACTCTTCCAGAACACCTGATACCATTCAAGATGTCCATGTACTATCAATTGTTTTGATATTGCTTTATAACTAAAGTATTTTTGAACATGGTTTAGCAGGATCTATAGTTTCATGTATGAGTTGTGATAGAAGATATAAATTGGATACACAGTAATACACACAGAATTCAAATGTAATACCATCAGAACCTAATGATTTCTCATGATTGTTTCTGGATGAAACTTTTATCGCTATGAGTTGTCGTAGAAAATACAAGTGCTACACTTTAAAAATTTTATCTTTAAGATACAATTTTCAAGAAACATTTGATAGATTTCGATTTGAAGACCAGGAGAACCTGATGATAAATTGTCATTGTCTTTTTACATAAATTTGATTAAGCATTTATCTCTCCAAAAAAAGAAATCTATTTTAATAGATAAACGCTGAAGCCATTAATTATCTAGCTACTTGTAGGTCAGCTCAAGTCGAACATTTAATACTCTTTATTTTTTATGCGGAAATCAGAAATCTACTCTGTCATTTAAACCTTGTATTAAAAAAAAGATCATTTGTTATCTGATCACAACGTTCAACAGTTTGACATCCGATCAATTCCAGGGACTTCTCTTAGGTTAGAGTGACTTGAAGGACCTTTTTCTGTCTTGATGACTAAAAGGCCAAAATGTGAACAAACTATGGAATAGCCAGTCTATGATGTGTTTAATAAAATAAATTGAAGACTTGTTTAATTTTTTTTTACATAAGCATTCAATTGACGTTTGTATTTTATATGTTTTGTGTTTTATTCATCTTTTAAAATTGTTTATTTTGTTTTAAATAACTTTGTCATTCAGATATTTTGTTAACATTTACTTGTATATATACAGAAAAAATCGATGCATTTTGGTGAAGACATTCATATAAATGGTTTTGATAATAATAAATATTATTTATTTCAAACTTGGGCTCTATTTTTGATGTGACTTTTGAGATAGATAGGCCTCTTTAGACAAATCAGTATTAACATTAATAAGAGGGGTGTCCCCATGGCTTACAGAGGTTCAATTAAAAAAACATTTAATTAAAAGAATACCTGAAGCGTGAAAATAGAACCAAGTGCCCTAGAAATATATAGCAAGAAAAAAACAAAAAAAAAAAAAACAATTTCCATTGTTTAAAATGTTTTAGCCACAAAGAAATAGTTATATATAGCATGTGCTGCTTTATGCACAACTCTTGTTACCGCATTTGAAGATAAAGTGATTCAATTTTTTAAAAAATTAAATGTATGGTGTATGATCAATCTAAATTTGTCACACTTCCTAAAACCACAGAAGATATTGTATCTCCATGTGGTAGTCTTACCTCAAGCCTCTGCAAGTTTTTCAGTGACTGGTGGGCACCAAGGATTATCTCAATGATCAGTTTGTAGATTCACTTGGTCAAAGTGAATTAGATCATAATACACAAAGTGTTCACAAAGAAATATAGCTGTAACTTTAAATGAATTTGTCGCCAGTAATGCCAGTATTTACTACTGTATAGTCTCCTGTAATTCTTTCGGAAGAAATCCAGCTATTGCTACATGTATTTAATTCAGTTTTATTTGCGATGCTGCATAATCCTGGAGTTTATAAAGATCCATCCACCATAAATTCAAATTCACAAAACTTTAGAACTTCTCTTTTCTCACAGTTTAAGATGTTTTTGCAAATTGTAAATTATCATCCAGGCAAATGCAGCAAGTTCAATAAAGTAAATAAACTGCTTGAAACACTGTGTGTAGAAACTAGAGCTAATAATGTCTATTTAGAGTAGTTGCATGTTTGTGAGTGCTTTAAGCATGATGTCTGTATTATTGTAATGTTCGGCTAGTCCTTCCCACTATCCTCGACTCAAACATTGTAATAAGTATTGATTACTTCAAATCTGATTTACACTACCACTGCCAACGTAACTCTCGTAACTCTCATTTCTACTAAAACATCTCGTCGCACAAAATAAAAATCAATAATCTCTCCCCACTGTCCTTTGACAATTCTCATATTCAATGCTGCTCTCTCAGAAACCCTTCTTTACGATTACTCATTCCTTAACAAATATTCTAAACGTCGTGCAGAAAATTAAATTCTTTTGTTATTCACTAGCTGAATAAGTCGTTTGTTATTCCTCTCAAGTCAAAAGTTCTGTATTTTTCTCGTAAATTGCCTTCCTGCCTCCTTCCTTAAGTAGCTTTCGTGTTTAACTGCCTCATTTAATACGTGTAATACTTTCAAATGTTTTCAAGTAAAATCCATTCATGAGGTAAATTGTAGCAAATTTATTTTTCACACTGCCTCATTAAAGTTAGATATTTCCATGGAGATTCGTTCACCAAGTAAATGATGATTTTCCACTTAAATTTATTTTCTGTTTTTCTTCCCATCTAAGGGACGATTATGGAAATATTAAGAAATTTGAGTTGAAGAAGAGGAGTTGTATCGCTATAGAGGACCATAGACACAAAATAAGTTTTCATTTAAAGTCGGGGGGTTGGATGGCTGAATGGTTAGCGTGCGCGCGCTGTATCATAAAGTCTGTCATTGAGTCGACTGGCGTGGTTTCGAATCCCCGGTTGTACGTGGCAAGGAGTAGGGTCGCCTGTCCAACCTCGTGGGTTTTCTCCCGGGCCTCCGGTTTCCTCCCACTGCTAAAGACCCCTTCGCGCAAGCGAGTTATGTAAATAAAATTAAACCATATGTTAGTTCCGAAATGACCTAGTTTGTGTCGAGTGGACGTTAAACCCCATCTCTCTCTCTCTCTTTTTCATTTAAAGTCAAATTCTGAAACTTTTAAGGGACATTACCTTTTGTGTCATTTGTGAATGTCATACATGTTTACTTTATTATTGCTACCACCACAACATCGCAATGGTCAAGAAAAATAGTTGTATACCTGACTGAATTAAGTATCAAGAGTGCAATTAATAGGCAATTGTTTCACACTTTAAACTTGAAATCTACAAGACATAGTAACTTTTAAGGTTATACATGAAATGATTGTACAAATAATCTGACATAATGGTGTAGGACAGGTTGAGGAACCATTGTAAAAAATTTGCTCTGAACCAATTTACAATATCCCATAAATCAACAAATTAAAATCCAGTGAAATCAAATTTTTTATAAACAAATATGAATTAAAGCCAAGGGTGCATATCTTTGAAAAGAGAAATTGGTTGAAATTTTGTCAACAGATCTAACAATTTTGAACCAAGTAACTTTAAATAGAAGATAAATGATGATTTGGTGAACTCGATAATCTCTGTAATCATTCATTTTTTTTTTAAACCTTTAATAACTCTATATATGGAGTTTGGTAGCACGATTCCAGTATGATTAATACTTTCATCTCTTTATCATCTGCCACATTGCACTGTGTGATCACAAAGGCCCTTGCAGGATACATTTATCTTTGTTGCTAGCTGTATGCTACCAACTAAAATGGACAAAAAATCTTTTTTATCTTCTGTAAATATTTTGTTTCAGAAAAATGAATGGACAGAAAATGATTTGCTTTTGTTGTATTTCATCATATTGTTGTACTCAAATACAAAATTTATTATTTGGTTATTATGTGAGTTGTTTTGTTGATCACGCAATGGGATGAGACAATGGATTTACAAGTAGGTGGTTGATGTTGATGATGTTTGTACTACTTTGTACTGTAACATATGCAAGTCTCATTTGTTTTTGAATATTCACATATGTTTTTGAATATTCACATCTGATTTTGAATATTCACATCTGATTTTATACATTCGACGGGTAGTTGACAATATTTTTATTACGTTTTTTCAATATCACTTTGTCATTTTGTATTTATGGACTTAATGATCTATTCTACATTTGATTAAAAAAATAAAAAGTTAAACAAAGCTTTATTGATTTGAAAGCTTTACAATAACCAGAAATCCAAAAATTCACTAAAAATATCACACAAAAAATGATCATTTAAATTTAATTCAATATTCGATTAGCAAAGTAGCACTTAAGCTTAATTAAAATTTGATTTTTATTTTATTTCAGTTTTTAAATTCTAATTATTTCTTTATAAATTTTCTGTTCCATTTGAAATCTGATTCCACTAGGATTGGTTAAAATCATTCTTGTCCAAATTGAAGTGCTTGTACATTGGTTAGATCATAGGTTAGGTCAGTTGAACACAAGTTAAAACATAATATTGTTAGACTGATCATGAGATAGACCTTACAAAAGTATAATGTAAAAAAAAACCATGCGATTGAAAAAGAAGCTATAGTATGGTATAATTTTAATTAGATGGAGAGTAATGTACTGTTAATTTTTCTATGTTCATGAGTGTTATCCTTTAGAGGCATTTACTGATTTAGTAACTAGAAATGAAATGGGGATTAACGTCCAACAATTTAGTGACTGGATAGAGCAATAAACTATAAAACATACTTATGGAAGAACAATTACTGATATTTAGGCGATGTTTCAAAGAGTATTCTCTCAACATGTAATGCTAGGAAGGCTTTTCCTCCTTAATCAAATTCTGTCAGTGTGTATCTTGAGATCCAATTGACTAAGCAACACTTTACTTTTCTGTCCCACAGGCACTACCCCTGACAAGTGGGAACTGGACTTGAAAAATCCTGAGCATTCAAACGCAGGACATTCTAGGTGGCCCATGCCAGGATTCGAACTCAGGACATTTCTAGTAGCCCATACCATTATTGAAACTCTGGACATTCTAGTTGAGGATTTTAGTTAGACTGTAGTGTCTTAGAATATTTGAGTAGTAAATTCAAAATTCAATATGACTACCCCTCTATCTTATTATATTCGTATAGCTATTATGAATCAATATCAGTCATAATTATATATCTGGTACCAGAGTTTTTTCAGGTATTTCTCTAACTGAAATATGTGGTCTATGGATTATCAAATTGGTCCTTCGAAATATAGAGTTGACAGATTTATAGAAATATTATTCATCGACAGTCTGGATCCTAAACATACAACCATCTATAAAAAATATATTAAAAATATTATTTCTGGACAAAAGTAATAAATTACTAGCCATAGATATATTATAAAACAAAGGGTAGGTATACTGTAACTTTAAACGTGTTTTGGTACTCTATAACTTAAATTCAGTAATAATTGACTTATTTATATGACTTTCAGATCAAATTAAATTTTGTATGTCAAAACTATAACCTATTGAACATATCTTTAAGCCTTGTTCATTACTTTTTATTTCAATTAGTCAGTAAAAGTTTATTTGACTTCTTGCATGGCCTACTGTTCAGAAATTCAACCAAGCTAATAATAAATTTAAAAAAATTATGATTTACATTTCTGTTCACAAAATCTGATTTGGAAGGGGATCTACATGTATACAAAATGTTGGTTTCTCTATCTTTCGCTTCACTATGAAGGACTGCGTCTGTTTACACTTTCAAGCTTTACATGGCAATTAAAAAGGCATTCAGAGTCTGTATATTGAATAAAAGCACAAACAATCTATTAGAATCCATAAAAGGGATGTCAAATAACTATAACTATCCTTATCCATTTGCCATTCGGATAGCGAATATCTACTCCCAAGGAAAATGGGTGCTTGTCCAGGCTCATAAACTATCACCATGTCTTAAAATAACCAAGCTGTACTTGAGTAGTGAATGTTCTACCCCACACTTTCTGAATCTAGTTTATGACCTTTTCCAGTTCAGTTTTATAAACTAGAAATAGGATGGATATATAAGATAATAATTTTAATTAAAAGTATAATGCTGTGACTGGAAGTTAATCAAAATTTTATAATTGATCAGGGTGGGATTCTTTAATATAACACCTTTCACTATGATTACAATTATTCTTATCTCAGCTCACACACATTGATAGGTCTTATTACATTGCAGAGAAATTTCACATGAATTTTATAGTTAAAACGTACAGTCTTAATCACTTCAGCCCAGATTGTCTTTGCTTCCACTACAAAAAAGATTAGTCTGCACAAATATGCAGTGTTAAATTTGATAGGTTTTCAGTAGAGTTTGCATTGTTAACAGAAATGAAATGAAATGAAATAGGGTTTAACGTTCTACTGTTCTGCTCCAAATTGGGCTAATGTAGACGGGCATACGCCATACAGTGTGCTATGAGGGAAATTTTGCCCGTACAGCGGCACTATGGCCTACACTTATATCGAATTCCAACTGTCAAGGGATCTTTTGCGTGCATGCCAATATGTAAACGGGACCTCGGTTTTTCGTCCCATCCGAACGACTAGACAGCTCTGTCCTTGTCAGGCCTTCCATTCTGCATCACTGACAAGGGGGAACCACGCCAGAAAATCTGGATGAACTTTCTTGGCCAATGCAGGGATCGAACACCCGACCTCCAGGCTAGCGAGCCAGCGTCTTACCCACTGTTGAAATCTTACAGTCCTTAGCGTGGTATGAACTTAAAACAAAACAAATTATTAATAATATTTAGAAGTACTATACATGTGCAACAGGAAAATTTGAATATTTGACATGGTGGACTCTATATGCAATGTAGAACAGGAATATTTAAGTATTTAACATGGTGTGCCCTAATGTATTATTTAAAAACTTTACATATTTAAAAAAGAAAATTTGTTGACCATCATGTTGATATGTGTGTCTTAGCAAGGGACTGACTCACTAACAAGTAGGTCTCGGGATCGCTCCTGGTGTTGGTCTAGAAAGTGTTAGTGAGAGCTATTATCACATTTTGTACTTCATTCCAATTTGAACATGGTGTACAAACCTCTGAATGTGGTAAAATCCTTATTATAGAATAAACTAGAATTCTCACAGAAATAAATTAGATTTGTGGAAAGAATTTCAAACAGGGACGTGAAGTGGTTTATTTATACCAACT